ACAGACCCGAAACTGATGAAGGATGAACTGCCACAGGCCCAGCTCTTCACCAGAAGCATTGAGGATGGCCTAGGTTTTGAATATGTGATGTTCTATAATAATGCTGAGGAAAGAGTAGTTTGTTTGTTTCAAGGAGGTCCTTACCTACAAGGAGCACCTGGGTAAGAATGATGGCCTAAAAGTGTGGATCTAGATTTTTATTTTATAGCACCTTCATGTGTCCATGAACTACACTCAAGGCATTGTAGTGGTAAGGCAGATGTGTATTTATTGAATGAAAAGATGGTTATAACATAACCACCAGGACATACTGCTATATGTTTATCAGATCTTTACTACTAAAGGAAATATCTAATATACTATCGAACATAGGGCAATAGAGTATAATTTGAGAAGTATCATTAAAGTGTTAATCAAGATTTGTCATTATATGGTGATATGGACATTTTTGTTGTTGTTATTCTGCTAATTTGCATCTCCTAAAATTTTTTTTGAATGATTATTTATTTAATGTTATTTGTTATTATTTAATTCGCTTATAGGGCACATGGACTCACCAGAGAGAAACAGAGAGAGAGAGAGAGAGAGAGAGGAAGTAAGAAAACAAGCTACCAGATCCAGAACTCAAACCATAGTTAGCCATGTGAGAGTCCAGTGCCTTAATCACCATGCCACTTACTGGCTCCATCTTCCCTAAAACTTTTAAATAATATATGTGTATAGTTTGTTTAATGAAAACATAATATAAATTTTCAAAATATATTTTAGCTTTTTGCTTTTTTGTGACCTGATTACCACTCTTTTTTCCTTTCACTTTTTTCTTTTTTTAAGATTTTTAAAATTTATTTTATTTTATATGTTATTATTTATGTTTTAATTTTGCTAGAGAAAGACAGAGAGAGAGAGACCAAGGGACAGTGAACAAGCAAGCCACCAGGTCTGGGACTCGAACCACAGTCAGCCATGTGGGAGTCACACCTAAACCACCTGCCAGCCCCTTTATTGTTTTTTTTTTTATTTCAATCACTGTACATCTTTACAGCATACAAAATGGATTTTTCCAGTAGTAATACATTGTATATTAGTCCAGTCAAAGATAGTACCATATGTATTATCATTACCAGATAATTTTCCATTTTTGTGTTCTTTAAATTATTTTGCTTCTTTTTCCCCTTGATTCCCTCCTTCCCACTCCATCCCATTGTCCATCCTCTTCCCACACTGTCATTGCTATATGCAGTTGTTCTCCATGACTTTATACTTTCTAGCCTTTCAGTTTTTGTCATAGACTGTGGACATTCAGTATATATTAAATGGGGACATACAGTGTTTGTCTTCCATAATCTGGCTTGCTTCACTCAGCATTAACCCTTCCATATTTGTCCACTTTTGATCAAATGCCATGGTCTCAGTGTTTTTTATGGCTGAATAGTATTCTATAGTGCCTTTTTAAAAATATATATACAAATGACTACACTATTATGGCTATGCACAGAATAAAACTGGGGATAGGAGATTATTTGATATTCAGTATTCAATACACTAAACATGGACCTTTCTTTCTTTTTTTTTTTTTTTCAGTTTTTTTGGAGAGGCTTTTGCTGTAGGGCACATGCACCCGCCAGAAAGACAGAAAGACAGAAAGCGAAAAGTCACCCCCTAGGGGGGTATGACCATACTGCAATCCCTTCTCCTCTCTTCTCGTCTCAGGATCTTGGTCATGCATGCACACATACCTGGCGTGAGTTTAAGCCACTGGGTCTGGGATTCTAACTGCGGTCAACTACATGGGAATCCAGCAACATAGCCATTATGCTAACTGCTGGTTCCTACATGGACCTTTCTTAAGTAAATTGTGTGAAGATGCTTGGATACTTTTTCTCTCTTAAGAGGTTATTTGTTTTTAGAATTTATGAAAACATTTCTCCTCCCTTCTTGTTGTAACTAGATTCATTCATGGAGGTGCAATTGCAACCATGATTGATGCTACCGTTGGTATGACTGCACTTATTGCTGGCGGAATTGTCATGACTGCCAATCTCAACATCAATTATAAAAGGTAAATCCATAGTAATTCTCTACTTCTCCTTAGGTGTCATGGGTCAGATGTTCCAGCAGCAAGTATTAAGGCAGAGATTTGTGTGCAAGTGATCATCACAGAAATGTTCCTGGAAGAAACTGGCAGGGGAACAGAAGTAGGACAGGGAGAGGGAGGATACCAACTAAGGTTGAGCTCCAAGTCCTGTGAGAATAGCTCCAACCTGATCATACAAAGACATTGTACAGTGACATTTATGCCTTAGAATTGTCTCTACCTCAGGCAAGAGAGCTGGACTCTTTACAGTGTTGCACATATCACTTGTAGGATAAGAGCCATCCTGGGAACCAGAAATTCCCAGTTACTTCTAAGGCTGTCTGTACACAGACTGTAGGGAATGACTTTTAAGTTATTAGCAGTCTGAAGAGCTCCTCCAAATCAGAACTATTATAGCCCCTGCTCCAAACCACTACTTGGCAACAGAGATGAATCTACCTATTACCAGGTTAGGATAGCAGCTATTCTCATGGCCCCTTGATTTCTTTCAAGTAGCTCCAATGGAAAAAGCCACAAGTGAATAATAAAGATCTCATAATAGCTCTTAAGAATTCTTTATACGGTAGCAGTCACTAAAATGAACTCTGGAGAGTTAAAAAGAGGGGAAAAAAAAATAACAACTCTCATCTCCTGATAAGAAAAAATAATTAACCAGACTTAATGCATCTGAGAAGACCTTCTAGAAATCAGACTTTTGTACTTGGAGAGGCAGATTAAAACCATATATCAGAAATAGTATGTAGATATTGTCTTGTAAGTACACAGAGCCCAGGCCTAAACCTGTGCGCGTTTTTAGGTCTTTCTGTGTGCACTCAGTGCTTGCCGCCTGAGAAGGAAAGTGCGAAGTACTTACAGTGCTTAATTTGCTGGCGGTGATGATGATGCGCCTTTCGTGAAGCATGCTGGCGTACAGCTGCAGCATATTGTTCACGTCCACGGCGACGAAATACTCTGTGAGATTTCTCTGTGCAGGTCAAGGATAACTGTGTGAGTTGCAGCTTGTGGCGAACGCAAAGGAAAACACTGTATGTATTGACCGAAAGTCTTCTAGTTCAAGGGAACTATTATGAAAACTGGGTTCATTAACATAATTAAATGTGACACTGTCCCACTGCCACGGGAAACGCGTCCTACTCTGTTAGGACTGGACGCGTAACTCTACTGCAGGCAAGGGTTTCTCCGAGGGAAACTGAGGATCCCACATCCGACCCCTGAGTATTTGCAAAGCAGCTGGTTTCCCTGGCCCCAACCTAGACCTGCTGAATCCGGATTTTCAGAGTATGGCCCCAGGAACTGAGGGTTACACCAATACTCCTGGTGGTCCTTACACCTGCTCTTTGAGAAATGGCTGCCCAGAAAATATTACTGGAGGCTTTTTCTGGTCACTCACTCTGCGGGCAAAATCACTCTCTGGCCCTACACATGACCCCCAAGGCGCCCAGCGATGGTGGGTTTATAAGGCAGTCTTTGGGTCTCAATTAAGGAAAATCCCTGTTTATACCTCAAATCAGGCATGATGTATACCACTACATGCAACTGTAGCTTGATAATGTCTAAACCGATTCCTCAATTTAGCATGTTAAATTATCATTCTGCCGTGAGAACAAAACTGAGATACACTATATTGATTCTGACTTTCAGATCCTCTCCATACTGTTTGTTTCTAATTAATTGTTATTTCTAGTTATCTGTAATCAAACTTACACACATCAGAGAGCAATGAAATAATGATAATAAACTGAAATTATAGTGTCAGGAGGACTACAATCTAAAAGCTAAAACTTTTAGTTGGACAAAAAAGCAAACAAGAAATCCAACTGTCTCTTTGATTTGCAAAAGGTAGAAGCTTCATCAGGACAAACCAGTAAGAGAGCAGAGCAGAACCAATAGCTATCAGTAAGTGAGGCCCAACCTGGTGGGGGAAGGTCCGCTCCCTGATTTCTCTACTGGAAGCCCACCTCACCTTGCCACTCAATTCTTCCTATTCGAAATTACGTTTATGGTATGCGACATCTATATTCCCCTACAATCTCAAAGCTCACTTTTAGATAGGGAATTATTTCTCAACATAGAATGCTGCATTGTGTTTATGCCCTTGATTTTTCCCTAAAAGAGACTTTTTGCAGAATAAAGTGTGTTAACAGAGATGTAAAAAAGTGTATTCTCAGTGGCAATTTTTCCTTACAATGTATGTCTCTTTTACAACTTTCAAAATAACGGCCTTTTAAAAAATGTAACATTACGGGGCCAGCAGGTAGAGTGGTGGGTAAGGCCCTGGGCTCCCACATGGCCAGCTACAGTTCAAGCCCCAGACCTGGAGGCTTGAAAATCATTCTGGGCACATGAATACATGCTCAACATCCCAGGAGGAGAAGGGATGGTGGCATGGTCATCCCCCTCTGGGGGGTGATTTCTCTTTCTCTCTGGCAAGCACATGAGCCCCATGGCAAAAACCTAAGGGGGGGAAATAGTAATATTGCTAAATCAGTGTAATTGTTGTTTGCTAGTGAATGTAAGAGAACGGTAAGTAGGAGAGAGAATAGGAGTCACACTTTGGCTTTGGATTAGAAACCCTCAAGTTAAGGGACTAGGGCCATAGAAGCCAAGGATGGTCAGCCAGCCTTTAGGAAGACAGAACATGGGGACTGGCCCAAACTGCAGAGCCATCAAGCCTCAGGGTCTGTGGTATCTCCCAAGTCTTTTGGTGCCCTGGTTTGTGCCCACATGAAGAGCATCTTGGCACATCTCTCCACAGGGGCTGTCTGGTTCATCCAGACTAAAACGCCACCGATGGTCCTTCTGGTTGACTGATGACTGCCTTCATGTATTCCACTCACCACCCATGTGCTTTTAGAAACCAAACACTCAGTAGGTTTGAGAACATATTTGGAAAAATGGTGGAATTGTGAGGTAAACAGTAGGCATATCCGGGGATATTTTTCCCTGTTGATTTTTCCTTCACTTTTGTTTGAATTATTTCTACTGATTCATTTTAATTTTCCAAGCGAAGCTGAAAAAAATTACATAAGGGACTATTCCCTCTTTGAACACTTCTGTAAAAGTGTATTTGATACTTTGCCTTATCCATGTCAACACTTCTACAAAATAGGGACTGGCCATCATACTGAAACACTGAAAATATTGCTACTAATGGCTACGATTAAGACTCTAAATAAAATGCCAAATTTAGCAGTTTTTATAAACTTTTTATAATACCCACAAAGCCTTACAAGTTACGTATTACTTTAAATCAAAAACAGGAAATCAAGTCCAGGATATCTAAGATTTAAACAGAGTTACAAACAAAAACGTCTGCAGTAACTACAGTCAGTTCACTGAAGGAACTGTGGGTGTGAAGACGTTTCCCGTTGACAGTATTCTCACCTGCCAGCAGAAGTCGTCCTGAGATAGTGCCTCTACCTGAGACAGGTAGAACTCCGGCTCTAATTGAATATACATGGCCCTACCAACTCCAAATGATAAGAACAGTTTTCTCATAGCACTGCCTTTAATTCTTCTTATCTACAGGGAATATTAGGAAGCTTATAAGGGGACAGATACATGATGAGATGGCAATAACACCATTATTCCTTATTTTCTCATTATTTCTGAAAATTACAATGCACCCTATTGCCCTTATCTCTGTACAAGAATCCATAAGCAATGAGACCAAGTCAGTAAAATTCACAATATAAGTAGAATAATAAAGTAGAAAAGAGAAAACTTACACTCTCAGGTATTGTTGGGAGTCCAGTTACATCAGGGGCAATGAAGTAGGAATGCTAATCAATACAAATAAATCACAGCAGAGAAAGATAATTAAAATTGGGTGGCATGGGTCCCATATAAATTTGGGATAAAAATACAAAAAAATGCATCAACTAAATTAAAAAATGCCATGGACTGACACATAAGATTTGTTGCATTTAAGAGATTCCTACATGAGATAGCCAGACTTACACGAAATGTTATAGCTTTCTCATATAATTGAAATAGCAGTCAAAAGCATTTCACTTTAAAACTGAAATAAGAACCAGATAATTTTCCATTTTTGTGTTCTTTAAATTATTTTGCTTCTTTTTCCCCTTGATTCCCTCCTTCCCACTCCATCCCATTGTCCATCCTCTTCCCACACTGTCATTGCTATATGCAGTTGTTCTCCATGACTTTATACTTTCTAGCCTTTCAGTTTTTGTCATAGACTGTGGACATTCAGTATATATTAAATGGGGACATACAGTGTTTGTCTTCCATAATCTGGCTTGCTTCACTCAGCATTAAACCTTCCATATTTGTCCACTTTTGATCAAATGCCATGGTCTCAGTGTTTTTTATGGCTGAATAGTATTCTATAGTGCCTTTTTAAAAATATATATACAAATGACTACACTATTATGGCTATGCACAGAATAAAACTGGGGATAGGAGATTATTTGATATTCAGTATTCAATACACTAAACATGGACCTTTCTTTCTTTTTTTTTTTTTTTCAGTTTTTTTGGAGAGGCTTTTGCTGTAGGGCACATGCACCCGCCAGAAAGACAGAAAGACAGAAAGCGAAAAGTCACCCCCTAGGGGGGTATGACCATACTGCAATCCCTTCTCCTCTCTTCTCGTCTCAGGATCTTGGTCATGCATGCACACATACCTGGCGTGAGTTTAAGCCACTGGGTCTGGGATTCTAACTGCGGTCAACTACATGGGAATCCAGCAACATAGCCATTATGCTAACTGCTGGTTCCTACATGGACCTTTCTTAAGTAAATTGTGTGAAGATGCTTGGATACTTTTTCTCTCTTAAGAGGTTATTTGTTTTTAGAATTTATGAAAACATTTCTCCTCCCTTCTTGTTGTAACTAGATTCATTCATGGAGGTGCAATTGCAACCATGATTGATGCTACCGTTGGTATGACTGCACTTATTGCTGGCGGAATTGTCATGACTGCCAATCTCAACATCAAT